ACTTCAGATGGCTAACTTCCAAACACAAACAAAAGGATCAGTATCAAAACCGAAGCAAAAATATCCAAGTGACTGTGTAAACCCCTGCTTGCCTACGAACGTATACCGAGATCCAACACATTCAAAAAAATCAGCTACACTTTCAAACATCAGCACAGATTGCACTAAGATCAATAATAAAAGTAAGGCATCACCAAAGCCAATTAGAGAATCCTTCAGACCAATCTTGAAAAACATTTACATGTAAAAAAAAGCAGAAAAACCAATTGGGTGATGGCTTTTTCATTGAAATTAATAGTGTTTATTTGTCTATAAATACGCTTTCCAATTGCGAATCTTTTGCAGGTTTCCGATTTTACTTAACGAAAATTCATATCTACTTTTTGCTTCCTTCAGTTGTTTTTGCCAACTTCACCGGATTTCTCATCAATTTGGTCTTTGAGTTTCACTTCTCTTTATCTGTTTTCTCAGTGATTTCTTTACCTTTGGCAAGAAGTAGCTTGTCGTTGAAGTCTGCACCAGCACTAGAGTTGATGTTTGCTCTCTGGCTTCCGTTTCTAAATATTTTTAGTTAAAACGTTTCTAATTTGGTTCCTTTCGTGATTTGCAAGTCCATGTGTTAACCTCTTTAATGTAATTGATATAAGATGTTTCCGGTTTTTTCAAACTCCTTTTCTTCATAGCTCTCCAGAAAGTTCCTTCAAAGTCGCCGATGAATATGAAAATTTTCTACTTCCAGGAGCTTATTTCAACTGTCTCCTAATCGAAATTGCTTGTTTCAGGAACACCCAAGCTTGCGCGGAACCCCTCTAGCAATGCTGGCAGCCCAGTGCAACAAGCTGAGCAACAAATCGCCGCCGCCCCTTGCAGACGCTGCAGTAGGGAAGGGTTTCCACCCGTGGAAGAAATCGCCCCAGGGCGCCCCTTCGCCAGGCAGCGGAGTCTCTTCCGCTAGTTCGCTGCCCAGTCAGCGATCCTCCTCCGGATCGAATCCCACCTATTCCAGATCGGTGATGACTTCATGCGCCTCAGTGCCCACAACTGCGTCCTACGGCAGCGACTTGTACTTTCCTGGGGCAACAGCCCAACCTTCGATGAGCGACAACATGCATCATCATCAGAGTTCGCTGCTTGGGAAGGTCGAAGGGGCCGCCACCGCTCATCATGCCGCTCTCGGCTCTGTTTACTCCAGACATCCTTATGAGACCTGGCCGTTTAACACTATGTCGACGGCTCCCCATGGGGGAATCAAGAGCGACTCGGTGACGGGCGCTAATGCGTGGTGGGATGTGCATTCAACAGCCGGTAGCTGGCTGGATATGAGTGGAGCGGCCGGAATGCATGCTCAGATGGCTGCAAATTACTCTCCAGACTATTCCAGCTTGACTCATTCACTGGCTGCTTCGAACCATCTGCTCTCTTCCGGGCAGCATTTGCTTCAGGACACCTACAAGTCAATGTTACCGGGGCAAACAGTCGGGGCCTCATTCGGGCTGCACGCTGGAGCTTCGAGTCCGTCTCCAACTGGAGGCGCTGGAGGCCTCCCTCCTCAAGTTCCCTCCCCCAGATCGCAGAGGCGATATACTGGGCGTGCGACCTGCGATTGTCCCAACTGCCAGGAGGCTGAACGACTGGGACCTGCAGGGGTTCACTTGCGCAAGAAAAACATCCACAGCTGCCACATACCCGGTTGTGGTAAGGTGTATGGGAAGACCTCCCATTTGAAGGCGCATCTTCGATGGCATACCGGCGAGCGGCCTTTTGTGTGCAACTGGTTGTTTTGCGGTAAGCGGTTTACACGATCCGATGAGCTGCAGCGACACCTAAGGACTCATACTGGAGAGAAACGTTTCGCGTGTCCAGTGTGCAACAAGCGCTTCATGCGTTCGGATCATTTGGCGAAACACGTGAAAACCCATAACGGGAACGGCAAGAAGGGCAGTTCGGACTCCTGCAGCGACTCTGAGGAGAACAGCCAGAGCGACTTAACAAACAATGTGAATTCGCCGTCGTCGATCAACCAGACGCCACCTCCGTCCCAATCTATGGGGGGACTCGATATGGTCACGGGGCTGGATGTGAAGCCGCCAGGGCTGGTTTGAGGTCGGTGGGGGCCGGCTTTGCTGTATCCCAGCTATCCCCGCTAATGTGGCCCCAAGTGATACAAATTCTGTGAAATATTGTACATAAGTGGACGAAGAATTTTGAATTTATCTACTAGGCGAAAGAGGGTTAATGATAATGCTTCTTCATACTGTATGATTGCATGGTTGATTGTACATAATAGAAGCCCTACATGGTTGAGGCAGGCACAGAAGGTTACAAAACTCACTACGAATTGATAATGAAGTATTTTTACATAAAGAATGAACATCTTTGATGGCATTTCCTGCATTTTTTTGAAAAGGCACTAAAAAGATAGGGGGTTCAATCCCAATTCTTCATTTTCTCATTAAATTACTTCACAAATATGAACCTAAAGTGATCATACTGTATACAGCTTATCGTGCTCCGGTTGCCTTACCACTGGCACTCAAATGTATGTAAATATTATAAATATTATTTAATATTGAACTATGTATGTATAGGTGTATGTATCAGTTAGCCTACGACGGTGAAAGAGATAATTTATGTGTTTGTTGAACATTTTTTGTGACCATGAAATACAAGATTTTTATGTAAATAGGCATTTAATTAGTTTATATTTTTTTGCAATGTATATTTATAGGCGACTTTTAATCCTACTGGCAGCTTTAATTCTCGGAAATGTTTCATTAGAATTGGTGCATTATTATTTGAAAAATAATAAAATCGAAATACATATATGGAGTAGCATAGAAGAAGTTGTGATTATTTCAATTGATAATGGGTTTGGATTCAGTTTTGGGATTTTCAGAGATTTTGAGAAAGGAGGGATTAAAGGTTGTTACTTTGCACATTTTCTGGCTAATATAGGTTATCAAAGCGAACCAAGCAAATAGAGACGTTGAAAAATGTGGATTGGGTGATGGCCAAAATGTAAGCCAACCTTTGCCTCTCTGTAGCTTTTTTACACCTTAATTCACAAGCAAATGGAAGGAATTTCAAGCGGATGTTTAGGCATTTCTATAATATTCAGGGTATGCAAGTATGTTTTGTTTTAGAAATCCTTAATCCGACTGTAATAAAAAATGCACAGTTTGTTTCGAATCAAGCCAGGAATCTTCGGAATGAACTAAATTTGATACAGTTTTCCAGGGGCGTGCTCACGCGGCAAGTGGTTAATATATTGCCTAAAAAAATTACGTTTGGTTGGTCTTGCAATTTTCACTGAATTCACCAAAATTGGGTTAATAATGGTAAAATATTACAGTTTTTTTTTGGGTAATGCAGTCTGAAACCAAGAGCGTCAATTGGAAACACGTATACTAGTTGGATTACTTAAAAAACGTTATAAAATTATCCAAAACTAACCAAAGTTATTTTTACCCTGCCTTAAACTAACCAGTTGCTCCTGAGCATAAAGCTACAACCTGTGGTTTTAGACAATTTATCTATAACATGAGTTGTGCAATTGAAAATGTCTTGCTCTGAGACAAAGCAAAGTATCGAATTCTAGTGAAAAAGAAGAGCTGCCTTAATATGAATGAATAAAAATTCCAATCCCCTACATAAACTATAAAAATTGCTATTCATTAATGGATCATAAAAAGTCACAGGAAATATCGTCTGCGATATGAAAACTCTCAAAGCCTTTCAACAACCCAGATATTCGTCTCTATTTTCCTATCTGAATTTTGCATATTATTTGAACAAATAGAAAATTACATTCGTCATTCGGTTGCCAGCAGGAAACTTTCATATAGGAAAACTTCATTACTTAGGAATCAAATCTATTTTACTTTTCTGACTATATTGTAACAAGGACAAGAAAACTATATTGGCTTGTATGTTGATACTGGATGGCAGATTCTAATTCAAAAGCGTTTTTTTTTCTCACCAAACCTTTGTGAAACATCTGAATGTACCTACTATTTGTAAATTTGTCTATTGAAGCTTTTGTGAACGCATTGAAAGAATAAATACTATACGATTATAATTTCCTTCGTAAAGTGATTTGTTTCAATTTTTCCCTACCACATTACCTCATCTGGACGAAAAAATCACATATGGAAAGGAGGCAGTGCTGAACAAGGCATGCACTTGAATCTAAATAATTGTCTAAGAAGGCAAATTAAAATGCTCTCACCCGTAAGTATAATAAAAAGGCCACAGAAAAATCACAGAATGCCCGTACTACCTATGGCAAACCAATCAAACTCAGCAACTTAATATAAAATGACAAGTTAATAAACTGAATATTGAAGTGTACTGAACATAATTAAAGAATTTCTCAACTTTTACACGGGAATGCCTCCCGGTAATAACCCCCATAATGGGGTATGAAGGACCGCAATATTACCAAGCAGATGGATAATTGATTGATTCCTTATTGATTGCTGCAATAAAAGTACTGCTCAAGATATATAGTGGCTGATGTAATTAAGTTCCCAGGTGCCACTTGGTTAACGTGCTGAAGACTTTATAGGAATATTAAGGCAACTAAGGTTTTACTGCATGGACCACACGAGAAAACATGCTTTAAAAGTGATATATTGCGCAGGACGCTAGGATGGATTCAAAACGTCTCAAATTATCTGCATAGTACATGTGTTAAACATTTACTGATGAAACGGCCGAAGCAGAGTCATTGAGGTCTGAACCGACTCTTTGATCCTCCGGTTCAGGGAAGTACAAAATTCGAAAAACGTTTTGTTCCAACGCCTTAGCTAATAAATCAACACTGGCGTGCTTTTTCTCCTAATAGCTAATAACATTAATTGAAAAAAGGGCTGAGTACCTACGTAGATTAAACGCGAGTATTAAATAGTTTTTACTTCTAGCTGATTAATCTACTTATAAAGTGGCCAAAAAAAGGTTTTGCCTGGTTTGCTCCACTACATTCTAATGGCAAATCAAAAAAAGCACGCCCCTGGAATGGTAGTCGAGTAAAATCGATTGCCACATGTCTAAGGTGGTCTGGTAATCTGAGAAGGAGGAAATTTTGCTTTGGGTTAGCTTTGGTTGATGATACAAAGGCGTAATGGCACATTATGCTCTGGTGGATGCTCCTGTTTCCTGGCATAATTTCGAGCAATTTTATTATCTGATTTCTGGAAAAATGCAATATAGGCAAGGCTGCGAAAACATTTTAAAGAAGAAACGAAACCCATCAAGAATAAAACACTGGAAAAAGAAACAGTTGCGATGGGCAAGCGACTGGAAAAACTCAGCAGCAAATCAAGGAAAATTGGCATATTAGAACAGGCAATTGAAAAAATATGTTAGAAAACAAGAGCAAAAAAGTTTAGGTCTTAGCCAACTTGCTAGTTTCGCGTTTGGTCACTAATGATTAGGTATTTAAAAAATATACAGGCTGATTCACAAAACGTTATGGACACAGAGCAGGTGCGTGTAGAGGACCTCAAAAAAAGTCGTGTTTCTATTTAAGTTTTTTTTGCTCAAGCAAGCCCATGGTTAACGAGATACAGGGTGTTAAAATTCCAAAAAAATTTGGTACTTGCTTTTTCTTTAGCTCCACAGGTTATGAGATATTTTGCTCAAATTTTTATCGTATGCTAATGTTCAGATCCTTTACCCGTAGGTAAGCCAAGTAGTTGTTAACAGGGTGTTCTTTTTTCTAGAGGCATATCTTCTTTTACCCCCCGAACTTTTTGTAGTGCGCCACTGACTTCAACTGAACAAATTTTTGTATCTGTTCAATTTTAGAATTTTCTGTTATCTTGCAGTTTTTTTGTATCTGTCTTCTTTTTGGAGTTATTTGCACAGATATAAGTGCATGTAGGGTTCCTGGGTGATTTTCCATGAATTATCTTATAATTTTTTGCGTCCTTTTGATCACATTTTTGTGTGAAATAAATTAATTTCATAATAAATTAACCTCAATTGTTGTAAATAAACCTCAATTGTTGTAAATTAAATTAAAGTTAAAAACACATTGACATACCTATTTCAACTTCAACTTGCACTTAAAGCGTTCACAGAAAAATGTGAACAAAAGGACACAAAAAATTATTAAAAAATTTATAGGAAATCACCCAGACTTATGGACTTATGCTTGTGCAAATTACTGGAAAACGAAGGCAGATACGAAAAAACTGCAAGATATAAATACATTCTTAAATTGAATGATAAATTCAAAAATTTGTTCGGCCGAAGTTAGTGGCGCACCACAAAAAAGTTCGGGAAGGGGGGGGTTGCCCTAGAAAGGGTATGCCTCTAGAAAAAAGAACACCCTGTAGATTTTCACAACCAGTTGGCTTACCTGCGGGTAAAGGGTCTAACCGTTAGCCTACGTTAAAAATTTCAGCATAATATCTGATAAACTGTAGGAGTTAAAGAGAAACTACCAACATTTTTTTGAAACTTTAACACCCTGTATTTTGTTAACCATGGGCCTGATCTGGATTTACTTTGAGGTCCTCCACACGCCCCTGCTCTGTGTCCATAAGGTTATGAATCACCCTGTATTTGAACTAAATTCCTTAGATGACTAATTTCTTATCCCAATTATAAATCGAAAATATTTATTAAATTATGAAAACCTTCTGTATTTAAAAAAAAATATTACTTTAAATTAAGTCACGCTCATAGCTGATGAAGTTATTTAAAATCTTAAAAGTGCAATTAACGTACGAAATTTGAACGCAAAATAAATTTTAATAAAACAATTCATTTGAAGCTTTTTCGGCCTGAGAAAAAAAGCAAAAACAAATTTCGCTTTGAGAGTTTTTGAGAAGGAAAAACATGTTAATTACTTTTTAATACGAGTACTTACAATTAGCAAACGAGTATTTGATAGAAATTTTGGTAAATTCATCAGTCATCAAGTCTTCACCTTTAAGCTTGAATTGTGGCAATTCGTGTAGTTTTTCCGATTTCCTCAGCTATTTATTAAGCAAAGATGTAACTTTTATTTATAATAAAAGTCGATGAGAGTAAGTCTTCAAGTAATCCATAACAAAGGAAAAAAGTCTGTCATCTTGGCGCGCTTCTCACACTAATGTGTTAAAAAATCAAAAGTCTTCCTAATTTTTTGGGGGCTGTTCCTCCACTCTCAGCAATGAAATTTTTTAACCATTTTCAGACAACGTTAACAATTTCGGGACTTTCAAATTTCCCCCTTTTTACTATGCAACATTGAAATAAATACATTGATGAGTGACTCGAATATCGGCACGTAAAGAAATATTATTGCCAAAGCTTCCGTCCCAGACCACCCTTTTATTGCCCAGCCAGGTCCCATTAATAGCGAAATGAAACGCTTCTGAAATAAATCACAAGTTAAAAAGCTGGTAATATGGCATCTTAGTTAATTGGCAGACCTTCTGGGAATATCTCTAATAAATTTCCGGGCAATAACTGTGTGCCATTTAATATTTTAACGAGAACCATTGACATGTAGATAGTTTTGCAATGCCTGAGCCTGAGCCTTGATTGACTAAAAATCCAATTCAATTAACTCTAATTAGAAGATTCGCCAAGAATTAGTAAGCGGGTGGCAATAATAATTACTATAACTGGTTTATGGAAGATACCCTAATGCGGCAACATCTCTGTTATTGAAAATTAACACTTATTCAATTTCGAGATAACAACAACCAAACCGCTACAGTACTAATGGTGTGAAATATCGGTATCAAAGATGCTTGCTTTATGCGCTCGCGATGTCTTTCAAGCACAAGTGTAAGCTAATGACTTTTAAAAGGTTTCTGACTGATCAGGGGCTGCTTGAGCGGTCTTAATCAACCCATAATTGACTTCTGTTGGCGGCGCTTTTAAATAGAAGCACCGATGATCAAGCAAAATTCAGTTATTGGTTTACTTCATTATATGAGGGTAAAGCAGACAATGATTATTCTTCTTGGTAGCGTCGAGCTCAGGAAGATTTTTGGTGATGATAAAAGCGCTCCACCGATATATCTGATGTATCATCCGTTTTAATATGCGCCGTTTTGAACGTATATACGTATTTAGATAAGGGAGTTAGAAAAGGCAGAACTGACTGAGTGTTAATTTGTTCAAGCTTCCTTTTCCGATCAAATCTTCATCTTGAGTGGACAAGTTTGGCGAATTATCTCTGTGAAGATCTGTTCATGCTTCCCAATCCGTTGACGATTTAATTGCCGTCTCAGCTTTGACTTCTTCTAGATCTTGAACATTTTGTATAAAAAATCAGAATTTCCAAAAAAACATTTCATAGATCAAGTTAAATGCATGCTCCTATTAGCTAATGGTGTTAGATCCACAGAGTGTTCAAGAAATTAATTTTCATTGACAAAGACCAATAGTTGAAATGCTCCAGGTCCTCTTTGTATAATTAAGCAGACTAACTAGATAAGCATGAGCAAAAGGAGCAATAAATCTCAATTCCCCAATGTTTTCGTTAATACCCCGCTAAAGCCTCTCACAAATATCCCAGATAATCGAATAAATGTATTCACTTTAGCAGTGATACGAACGTAATGAAATCATGCCATGCGGTCGTATCGGAATAATAATTCCCACAAAGCGACACGAGCTTCCACAATTCGTTTCCATTAAGGAACAGCGTTCAATTGAGCTGAACTACAGGGGAGCTCTGATTAAACCTACTTCGGGGAGCTGAACAATCGGGAACAGTTTGCGGTCGCTTTTTGTTAATTTTCCCAAGTGCTCGCTGTTTTCCCAGCTTTAAAACTAAGCGATAATCAATAAAAATCTTAGATAAAAAGTATGTAAAATTTCATCAGCACTTTTACTGAAAGGGGCATTGTAATGGAAAATTTAAAATTTTATAATTCCAGAACCGTCATTTTTATTCATCGCGCTACATTAAATGCTGCTAATTTAATCAGATCAAGACTGGCAAAATCTCTCAATGTTGAGTTAATTAAATAAATAATTTGATGAATAATGCAGTTAAACAGGGACGATTTATTAGAGAAATCGGGTGCATTTGCCTTCATCCCTCTAACCGGTTTGATGTTCGCGCTATAATTTCAACCCCCGT